GCCTGAGCAACATGGCAAAAGCCCATCTCTAAAAAAAAGAGAGAAAAAAACCCAAACAAACCCAAAAAAACTCCCAAAATTAGCTGGGTGCGATGTGATGGTGTGCACCTGTAGTCCCAGCTACTTCGGGGGCTGAGGTAAGAGGATTGCTTAAGCTCGGGAGGTTGAGGCTGCAGTAAACAGTGATCACGCCACTGCATTCTAGCCTGGGTGACAGAGCGAAACCTTGTCTCAAAAAATATAAACAAATAAAGATGTTCTGAAAGGCAAAGAATTCTTTTGAAATGCAAACATCAGGCCAGGCGTGGTAGCTCACACCTGTGATCCCAGCATTTTGGGAGGCCAAGACGGCAGACTGCCTGATGTCAGGAGTTCGAGGCCAACCTGGCCAACATGGCGAAACCCTGTCTCTACTAAAAATACAAAAATTAGCTGGGCATGGTAGCAGGCACCTGTAATTCTAGCTACTTGGGAGGCTGAGGCAGGAGAATCACGTGAACCCAGGAGGCGGAGGTTGCAGTGAGCCGAGATCGCGCCACTGTACTCCAGCCTGGGTGACAGAGTAAGACTCTGTCTCAAAAAAAAAAAAAAAAAAAAAAAAAAAAAAAAAAAAAAAAAAAAAAAAAAAAAGAAATGCAAACACTGCATGTAGTCTCGCGGGGCACACTTCAAATCTGACCATCTGAGGGGCCCCTAAAAGGCAACCATCTCTGCCTGGTGTGAACACTCAGGAAAATGAGCACTAGGGAATCCACCCCGATATTCTGGGGTTTGGAGTCTGGCTGTATCCTTAACCCTCTGACACAAGGGCCACCACCAAGTGGTGCCCATGTAAGTGGGGCTCTCACATCAAAAGCTTGAGAAAGTTCTTCTCTTTTCTAGTCTCTATCCTGCTGATCAGGTCAAGAAGAAAGTCTGGCAGGTGCTACTTCACCTTTAACGCTGCTTCTGAAACTGCCCATCGCCCTCATTACAGCAGAGCCACACCGGCTTCGTGGGAGGCAGCATCTTGCTGACATTTAAAAACACTACTTGGTTTTCACTGTGTTTGGTTTTGCAGTGATCCTTTACCGAACGCAATGTGTATTGTGTTTTTCCTTTACAGTCAGAATTTGGAGGTTTCTTTTAAAATAATATTTAAGCATCAAAAATAAGTCCAGTTAAAGAAATTCTCAAGTCATACATCAGAACTGGGATGCTGCAAAAATTCTCTTGCTCCAGGCCAGAATCATGTCTTAATCCTCTTGGTGTCTCAGAGCCTGTCAGAGCCCCAGCGGCTCCCCAGAGGTTTAGATCAAATTAAACCAGTAAACCCTGGCAGAGCCCACAGATTCTACAACCTCCCTGAACAAAGGACGTCTGCAAACGAGACCTTCACCTCCACGTGCTTCCCTCTTACTCTTTTGGAGCGGAAGGCCAGCAGAAGTCCGCTGGTCTCTGAGGGTCACCGAGACACAGGGATGTCCCCAACTACTCTAAACATGTAATGATAATTTAGGCCACTTACAAACTAGTATGGCCCTGGAAGCAGTTCCCCTGGGCATTTGACAATTTCAAAAGACAGCTCAGGGAATCAAATGCGTGCAGGGAAAGGAAAATCGAATATACGTGGTACAGTTCCGACCCCCGAGCCTTGCAATTAGGAAACAGAACAAGTCCCTCATCTTGTGTATCTGGCACCAGTCCTCCCAACCGGACCCTAATGAGGATGGACGTCTGTTCTCTGTCCTGGGACTGGAAAGAATCCTGGGATTATCTCAGCTGAGAAGTCTCCAGTCCAGAGGGCTGTCAGAACTGCTGCACGGATGAGCAGAAAATAGCAAATGATAAATTTTTTAGGACCACCCGCTGCATGCCAGTTGTAGCAGACTGTGAGATAATGTATTGGGCTTTTTTGGGACATACATTATTGATCTGGGTCTGTCTAGTGGTTTATAAAAAGCCCATCATGCTCCTCCCACAACCACCTTCCCATCCCTCACCTCCTGAAGGCGGCTCAGTCTCCTTCGAAACCCAGTGCTGCTGGTAGAAGAGGTCTGGTTTGTTTGCAGAGGGCAAGACTTGTAGGTCCTGATCTATGCTGTGTAATGCTATTGGGCAAGAGCTGACACAGGCCACTGAACACCAGGGGCTCTAAACCCACGGCATCCACCTCCTGGAATTTATCCTTCAGAAGCACTCCCTTGCCTGCGCAAAGATGCCTGTTAAAATTTCCAGCAACAATATCTGTAACAGTGAAAAACTAACAAACGCACACACTACCAATCTGAAAACAACTCAATATCCACCCCAGGAATCTGACTAAACAGAGCAGTGGCTAAGATCACGTGTTCTGGGTTCAAATCTTGTTTTTCTCTTTTTTCTGAGATGGGGTTTTGTTCTATTGCCCAAGCTAGAGAAGTAGTGTGAGCTAGGCTCACTGCAGCCTTGACCTCTTGAGCTCAAGTGATCCCTTCACCTCAGCCTCCCACTAGCTGCTACTGCAGGTGTGTGCCACCATCCTTGGCTGATTTTTATATTTTTTGTTAAGATGGGGGTCTTACTATGTTGCCCAGGCTGGTCTTGAACTCCTGGCCTTAAGTGATCCTACCTCCTCAGGCTTGCAAAGTGCTGGGATGTGAGCCACTGCACCCAGCTCAAATCATGTTTAATCACATTCCAGCTGTGCAAACTTGGACAAGTGGCTTCTCTCTGCCTCAGTTTTTCCATCTGTCAAATGGAGAGAAGAAATCTCTGTATTTTAAGTCAGCCACGGCTTTCTTTGTTCTCCTCGCTCCTGTGTCTACTTCATATCCGTGGCTCCTTTCCTTGTATGTGCATACACTGTCGGTTTCCTTACATCTGCATATGCAGTTGGTTTCTTTTTATCTGGATACACTGCTGGTTTTATTCACAAGTCACAGGCAAAGTTCAGTGAGATTCAGACATGAGACTTAGCTGGATCATGTTGCAAAAATGTGTTGTTCCTAAGAGTGGGTATTCAGTCACTCACCTGTTGATTCGGGCCCCAAACTAGGAGTTGCCCTTAAAATGTCTCTTTTCCTTAACCCGCATACCTAACCCATTGATTTGTTTATTTCCCAAACATACATCAGGTGGGACCGGGTCTCCGCGCCCAGGTCTGAGCTTCCATCATCACTGCCCTATCACGACACTGGCCTCTGAATGGGTGTCCTGTTTCTGCCCTTACCCCTGCAATTTAATTTCATCAAAAGAGCTGGGGGGGATCCTGTTGGAACCTAACTGAGGTCACGGCCTTCCTCTTCTTTTTTTTTGAGATGGAGTCTCACTCTGTCGCCCAGGCTGGAGTGCAGTGGCCGGATCTCAGCTCACTGCAAGCTCCGCCTCCCGGGTTCACGCCATTCTCCGGCCTCAGCCTCCCAAGTAGCTGGGACTACAGGCGCCCGCCACCTCGCCCGGCTAGTTTTTTGTATTTTTAGTAGAGACGGGGTTTCACCGTGTTAGCCAGGATGGTCTCGATCTCCTGACCTCGTGATCCGCCCGTCTCGGCCTCCCAAAGTGCTGGGATTACAGGCTTGAGCCACCGCGCCCGGCCTTGCCTTCCTCTTCTTAAGGCCCCCTCATCCATGTCTATTTTACCAAGAATCAAACTCAAAGCCTCCACCATGGCCACAAGGCCTGGTGCGACCCGGGCCAAGTTGGCTCCTCAGCCTCATCTCTCTCCATCATGGCCCTACTCCCTCCACTCCGGCTCCCTGGCACTTTTTGTTTTTGGCTCCAAACCACCGAGCTCATTTCTATCTCAGTATCTTTGAATTTCCTGTTCTCCCCACCTGGAATGAGCCTCCCCCAGTTCTCTGGCTCCTGACACAGTGCACTGAATGGAACAAATGCGTAATAAACATCTGCTGGATGAATGAACGAACGTGCAGGGCATCGGAAATTCTAGGTATGACTACAACCGAAACAGTGTGGGGGCTACACAATGTCAGATCAAGAAGCTCTGAGGTCCAGGTGCTGCCTGCCAGACCTCTCTGCAAAATTCTGCAAGAAACAAAACACACCTTTCTGGCCACAGTCTGCAGACTCCCCATAGTTATCAAATCTACCTCATTCTAAATGTTGCCAGGAGACAGGTATCCTATGTGTCATATGGTCAATAAAAGCTCTGGGCTCTGACTGCTTCCTGGCTACAAATTCTTCTTGCACTGAGAAGCTCCCGGAGGAAAAAATCTATACTTGTGATCATTAATACAAAGCATTGCAAGGAACAACTTGGTTTTATGTAAATTACCTTTTGCTGGTAGCTAAAAGACAAATTCAGGTTGTCAAGGCTAACCTAGTCAACCTTTACATTTGTTCCACCAACAACGTGCTGTTATCCTTTGAGAGTGGATGGAGGCTGAGGGACCACCTTTCATGGGATCAATGATTGGCAGTCTTTGCCACAACCCACAAGAGCCTCCAAAATCTGGTTCCAGGCTCATGTCTCATCATTTTTTTTTTTTTTTTTTTTGAGACAGAGTCTCACACTGTCACCCGGGCTGGAGTGTAGTGGCGTGATCTCCACTCACCACAACCTCTTTCTCCCGGATTCTAGAGATTCTTGTGCCTCAGTCTCCTCAGTAGCTGGGGTTACAGGCGTGTGCCACCATGCCCGGCTCATTTCTGTAGTTTTAGTAAAGACAGGGTTTCACCACGTTGGCCAAGCTGGTCTCAAACTCCTGACTTCCGGTGATCCACCCGCCTCGGCCTCCCAAAGTGCTGGGATTACAGGCGTGAGCCACCACGCCCAGCCTGTTCTCTTTAACTCTTTGGAGAAATCCAGGAATGCTTCTGCAACTGGAGGAGGGTAGAGACCCCTAACCTTGAGGACCCGGTTGTGACCCCAAACACGTGTGGGTGCCATGTCTTGGTTTCAACGAACTCAAAAATGACCACTACGAATCAACACCACCGCCTCGCCTCAGGAGCCTCAGCCTAACCCAGGGACCCTGCGCCAAGAGGCCGAGGTGCCACCCTGGGGCCCTGAGGCTTACCCAGCTCCACGTCCTGGTCGTCCGTCAGCACCAGGATGATGTTGGGGCGGATGTTCCTGCGGTCCCTCTGAAACCTGCCTTTCAGGCGGTGGTGCGACAGGAAGGCCGAGCTTCCACCCAGCAGGGAGAACACCGTTGCGGACAGCAAGCACAGCACGAGGCTCGGGGGACCCATCTTCTGTTTTGGCTGATCTGGTGCTTCTTTTGGGATGCAGGAGTCTGAAGTTGCGTCTGTGGCTTTGTTTCTTTTCCCTCGTCCCTCTTTACTCGCAGATCTAGAGGAGGAGAAAGAATCAGGTCAATATTTACGTCAAGGCTGCCGGCTGCTCATTCTTGCATAATGATTTGTACGGTGGCTGGCATGAACAATGGGAGTTTCTTTGAACAGGGGTGGCTATGGCAGAGTGAAAACTCAACTCCGCTGAAGTTAGCAAAGTCTTTACAATTTGCTTGGTCAACAAACGGGCAGAAAAGCCTTCTGTGGCCACTTCTGCAGAAACCATTTCTTCCCTGGACCCAGTGAGCCTCTGATGTGTTGGTGGCAGCCCAAGACCCGAGTCAGATAATAGTTGTCTCTGAATAATCCACCCAATTCCACCACCAAATCATCCCCAGGGAGAGGAGCAGCAGCGGGCTGGTCTCAGAGAGTGACTATTTGCGTCCTCTTGTATCTGCCCACACCGTGGGGTACGGAGGTGAGGGAGATGAAGTTGCAGTTCCCCGTCAGTGGGGGATTCAATCAGGGCTTTAAACGAGAGCCTGGAGCTGGACGTTTTGGGCTGGACAACTGGCATGTTTGAGTGCCAGATCTTCCACTCACTGGCTCACTTTTTCCGTGAGCAAGTCCATTTGGAACCTTGGTTTCCCCATGAATAAAATGGGTAGACAGGGCCATTGTAAGATTTCAGTCTGCTGGGGATGTGCCTGAAAGCCCCTTGTTAAGGGATCTTGTAACTGGGCAAAAAGGTATTCCTATTAGTTTTTTGTTTTGTTTTTTCCCCAGTTTTGCTTGTCGCTCAGGCTGGAGTGCAATGGCGCAATCTCGGCTCACTGCAACCTCTGCCTCCCGGGTTCAAGCGAGTCTCCTCCTCAGCCTCTGCAGAAGCTGAGATTACAGGCGCCTGCCACCACGCCTGGCTAATTTTTTGTATTTTTAGTAGAGATGGAATTTCACCATGTTGGCCAGGCTGGTCTTGAACTCCTGAACTCAGGTGATCCCCGTCTTGGCTTCTCAAAGTGCTGGGGTTATAGGTGGGAGCCACTGTGCCCAGCCTAAGTTGCAGAATAAACGAAATGACAATAGAGAAAATTGAGCGCTAACACGTGGAGGGGGACGACCTGCCACGGGCCACTGTGCCTTCAGTCACCCCGCAGCCCCAGGTCAGACTAGGTCACCAGCAAAGGTGGGTGCAGGGAGGTGGGGACGCAACTCTGGCTCGAGCAGGTCTCTAATCTCGCCCTGCTCTTTGCTCTCTGCGGTCATTTTTTCACTTCTTGAGGAAATGAGCCTTCAAGTCCTATCCAGATATAGACTTCTGGTATCATTTATTTAAAACGAGAGTGCAAGTGAGACAGCCACAGCCTGCAGATGCGCCAGGAGGAAGCCAAACGCCATGGGGGCAGCTGTATCGCTGTGACCTTGAAAGGGTCTGTTTGTCCTTGCCCTCCGTGGAGGAACCCCGGCCATCAGCTCAAAGTCATGACTCAGAGGCTCAGAAAGGGCTCCGGTTTCGGCAGGGGGATGTGCTGCCTGCTTCACCTCTCCTGGGGACTGCAAGGCGGCCTGAGGGGTCTCCTGCCTCCCTCTTCCCTGACCCCATCCTCCATTCTTCCCAGGGCAGCCGGAGGCATCTTCCTAAAACACATATCAGATCCCAGCACTGGGCAGGGGAGGGCACCGTGCCTCGTGCAGGTGGAGACTGAAGGGGGTGCTCACTCCCAGGCTGTACAAGTGCCAGGCACTCACCTCGCCTTAGTGCCAGTCCTGTGCTCACCTGTCGCACCTTCCTTGGCTGCTCATGGCTCACAGGATAAAATGCAAACTTCTCGCCAGGGCTGCCAGGGCTGCCTGGGCCCGTGAGCTCTGGCCCCTGCCCACTTCTCCCCGACCTCTCCTTTCTAGCCCCACTGGCTTCTTTCTGCTGAATGGACAAATCAAACTGATCTCTGCCCCAGGGTCTTTGCACCTGCTCTTTTAAAAAGTAACTCCTGCGGCTGGGCGCGGTGGCTCACGCCTGTAATTCCAGCACTTTAGGAGGCCGAGGTGGGTGGATCACCTGAGGTCAGGAGTTCAAGACCAGCCTGACCAATGTGGTGAAACCCCATCTCTACTAAAAATACACAAATTAGCTGGGCATGGTGGCACACGCCTGTAATCCCAGCTACTTAGGAGGCTGAGGCAGGAGAATCGTTTGAACCTGGGAGATGGAGGTTGCAGTGAGCTGAGATCATGTCACTGCACTCCAGCCTGGGTGACGGAGTGAGACTCTGTCTTGAAAACAACAACAACAACAACAAAAGCTCCTGCTTTGTACTCCTGGCTCTTTCCGTCAAAAGAGCAAACGTCATCACCTCAGAGAGGCCTGCCCTGACCACCCCATTTAAAGTGGGGCCCCCAACCCAGGTACTCTGCATTTTATAACCGGTTTTATTTCTCTTGTAATCACTACTACGGCCTGCAATTTCTTATTCATTGTCCAATTCTTCCCCACTAGGGGGTCAGCTCCCTGAGGACAGAGACAGGCTTATGTTATTCATGGCTGTCTCCAGGCCTTGGCACAAACGAATACTTAGATAAATAAAGGAATGGAGGTTCTGTTAAGGTCCTTTGAGTTCTGCAGAGTGAGGGACGCTGGACTTGGCAGGCCCATGCCGCACCTTGGGTCTACATGGCTCAGAGGTGTCCATCAGTGATGCCTTGCCCCAGCCACCCTCTATGAACACCAACGAGGAGCTGGCCACTGTGTTCTCTGGGCAGTACTATGGTTGAAAAATCCCAGCAAGGGTCCCTCCTGCTCCATTTCTCCCTCAACTCTGCTTGGGACCCTGGGAGGCTGAGCTCTATCAATGGTGCGGTTGGCACATCCCTGCTCTCTGGCTTCCGGCTGGGAGGCTGCAGCATGGGAGGTGTAGGAAGTCAGTGTATTTATTCTCCCTCCCGCACGCAGTAGCTCCCCAGGCAGTAGTCTTTGTGTCTCTGCGTGTGGATGCAGCTCCTGCTGGGGACACCTCCCGGCTCTAGTGTCTCCCCAGTTCTGAGTTCACCTCTTCCTCTTGCCCCATCAAGTCTAGGGAAAGTAAGGGCTCCTTTTGCTACCAGTTCCTGGGTGCAACATCATTTCTTTGCTCCCTTTGCCCACCTGCCTCTGAAAATAGTGCTTTCAATCAACTCTCTCAGCTGCCCCGATGCGCATCCTAATTTACTTCATTCAGGGACCTGTATCCTGTGTCAGGCTGGCCAGGACAGCATGTCTCCCTTCTAGCACCTCCCCTGGAAGCAGGGAGCAGGCTCCGCTCAATGCCTCCTTCCCAATGGCTCTGAGAGAGAGTCACAATTTCAGGGGAGCTGGGGACACACTCAGTGCAGTTGTCTGACATGAGAACTGTGAGTTTCATGGGACCAGAGGGCGAACAACAGCTTCCTTCTCAATCTCTCATCTGCAGAAACATACACCTCATGACAGCCAGAGCTACTGCGGCGACTGTTTGCTGGGCACCTGCTTTGCGCCACGTGGTGTGAGAGTTAAGGACATGGACTTTGGAGTTACTTGCTGAAAGACCCTGAGCTAGTAACTTAGCACCTTTGTGCCTCAGTTTTCTCCTCTATGAAATGGGTGTGCAGGATTAAATGTGTTGATATAGTGTGCTGGGACTAGAGCCTGGCCATGGTACTGACTGGAATACATAATCCACAGTGTAAACCATTATTAGATTGATCCTACCACTGCAGTTGTCCTGCTTTGGGCACTCTGTGGCATCTCCTTCAACCTCCACCAAGGCTCCCTCCTGCAAGTACTATTATTAGCTCCAGAGAAAACTGAGGCTTCATGACTGTCCTAAGGCCACCCAGAGAGAAGATGGCAGGGATGGGATGAGAATTCTGCCCTCCCTCACCGTTCAGTGTGGGCTTCTCATCATGAAACTCGGATTTCCCAACTCTTTCCATTCAAAGACCACGGCCCTGATTTCTGCTGAATCTGCAGAGCCCTTCAGTGATTATTTGCTTAATGTGCTTCTTTAAATGGCCTCATTTCAAAATAAAAATACAAACACATGTTTTGGGAAAAGAAAACTTCCTATCCAAAGATACATGGAAAGTGGACATCGCTTCCCTGTAGAGCTAATTGTACAAATGAAAGTCATAGAAAGCTGAACCAGTGGAACTTGATTCAAATAGCGTCCCAGGCTTCGCGTGCCCCCGTGCTCACTCTCTCTTTTGAAGTGAGATTAGCAGGTGTTGAAAGGAGTCAAAGCACATTAGCACCATCTGAGACTTTCTGCTGGAGGTAACTGGAGGTTGAGACAGCTGAAAAGGAGACAAGCTCTAGCCGTTGAATCAGTCCCTGAACCACCCCAAATCAGAGTAATCCTCCAACTATGTTGTTTATCCGATAGGGTTTGGCTGTGTCCCCACCCAAATCTCATCTTGAATTGTAGCTCCCGCAATTCCCACATGTTGTGGGAGGGACCTGGTGGGAGATCACTGAATCATGGGGGTGGTGTCCCCCATACTGTTCTCCTGGTAGTGAATAAATCTCATGAGACCTGATGGTTTTACAAAGGGTTTCCCCTTTCGCTTGATTCTCATCTCCTCGTCTGCCATCATGTAAGACATGCCTTTCGCCTTCCACCATGATTGTGAGCCACGTGGAACTATGAGTTCCCCAGCCACGTGGAACTATGAGTCCATTAAATCTCTTTTTCTTTATGAATTACCCAGTCTCGGGTATGTCTTTATCAGCAGCGTGAAAACAGCCTAATATATTATCAGTGGCCCATGTCCCTCCGTCGGGAAACACTATGGGATGCTTTGCACTTGAAACTATGGGTGCACCAGCCAGCGTGCACATTCACGTTCCTTCAGAGACACAGAAGTGCAGTGCTAATATTGGGAGAATTCCGATGGGATACCCTACAAATAGTAACTCTCTGAACCCAGAAACCAATCCTCGTAAAAGCTTTGTGAAAGCTTGCAGCACACTCCAGTCTCTGCTCTGAGCTGTTTGCAGGTGTCAACCCAATTAATAGGCACACCGAGCCATCAGTATTCCACCCA